GCGCCGTGCACGGCGCGGCGGGGGAAAGGCTAGGGGCGGCGGCGCGGCGGGAAAACGGCCGCGGATCATGTGTCAGGGCAGAAAAATGACCGTACCCCGAGGCGGAGTTTGCACATTGAGGTAAATTTTTGTGGCCGGAGCTGGTCGTAACCTGAAAAGGTCATTAGTAGAGGCGTTCGTATCCCAAGGTACCACTGTATTTTCCACTGTCCCAAATGTCTAGCTTGTTTTTTACTAGTTATTCAGACCTGGAAAGCTAAACAGGGCTAGGCCTAGTTTGGTTTTGGACAGGAGAGCAGGGGTGTAGGTTAGACTGAAAGGTCAAAGTAACGTCAAGAAGAAAGCAACGATAAGAAACAACTCTCCTTTAGCGTTTGCCAAGAAACACTTAAAATCTTAAGACGATGTAGTGTGTGTGTGTGTGTGGGGGGGTGGATTTGCAATAATAGTGATATATTTCATTTTCTCTACTGGCTTTTGGAGTCTGGTCACTGAAGGGCAAAGAGGGGGACTCAGCCCTGAAAAAGTTATGTATCCCTGAGTCAGTAAAAAGGGGATCATAAATGCTATACAATAAATAAGGAAATGGAAAAATTACGTGGCTGAAGTTTTGCTGAAAAACAAATTACTGTGTGCCTACTGGGTCTGTAAAATGTTTAAAAATAGGGGAGGTGTTTTGAGGTGGATAAATGTCCAGTTGATTGAACTCTACTTTGTAGAGTTATTGAGAGAATTAATAATGTGATAAGGAATAAACACTTTGGTTCTGGGGTGTCTGGGGGGTGGGGGGGCTAAAAAGTCAAAATGGCAGCAGCAGCAACTATAAAGTTCTGCTCCTTTTTTACTGCATTGATGCACCTAAGAAGAGGGCTGGTCTTCAGTTTCATGATCATGGCTCCCATGTTGTTGATGCCTCTGGTTACTTAGGAAAAGTAACTTGTAAATAAACACTGACTGATATTAATTAGTCCCAGCAGAGCAGAGATAACAAGGCTGCAGTTTAGTGCTTAGTTAATGGGGAGAACAGCTCATTAAATATCTTGGGATTTGCTACTCGATAAATATTGTGGTGTAAACGCATGTGCAAATGTCTCTTACAGCAAAGGTCCAAAAAACAAGGCTCCTTATACCTGGTTCTCCCCCATAGAAGTGGCAGCAAGAGAACTGGAGGCCAGGTTGAATTACGTTCCACCTCTCGACGAGAACATAAAGCAAGTCACCAAAGACCTTTGCGACGGGTTCGATTCTCTAGTGAGTCAGAGCAACCTCCACTGAATTTTCTTTCCTAGCCCAGATGTCTTCTGCACCAAAGAAACCACCCAGCGTGTCTCCTGATGCTGCTCTGAATACACCAGAAACTGAAAAAGTCAACGCTTCATCCACTTTCTGTAACCCAACTCTCCCATTGAGTTGGACTATAAGACATAGGCATGTCTAGCATAGCATGTCTAGCATAGCTAGCATGTATGATATTATGGGAGTGGTGGTCCAACATATCTAGACAACATTGCTGGGAAGGTGTCCACCAGACTGGACTTGAAACATTTAAATGGCCAAGAACAGTGTTGCATCATTCGGAGAAGTATAAACTCCTCTGAATAGCTGGAATCACAGCATTATCACAGTCCCCCGTGATATTTTAGAGAACGGAGCGGATTTTTTTTAGGTATTGGGTTCCAAACTAGGGGACTGATCTGCTGTGGCCCATTCAGTGATAGCCCCTTAACTTGGAACAAGCGAAAGCTACAAACTTAGCTTACTCTTAGGATGCACCTGATCTTCTTGGAAATTGAAATGCCTGCATTGTGAAAACAGTGTCCCCTCCACTGCTTTTGGATGACTAGCAAAGGCCCAACTGTACCACCATCTTTTCCTTTGGAAGGCTGGATCACATCTATAATTTAAAATCAGGGTAGGTTCCCTATAGCCCACAAGCTTCCAGCTGACCTTGGAACCCCTTGGAACCCAAGTCATTGTTTCTCTGACATTAAAACGTTGGGTAAGAACTTCTTGACTTGGCCTCATATACATCTGCAGGGGGGATGTGTCAAAATCTGCAAGATGGTGGGTACACCAAAGGAAAAGGACAGGACTTTGATTGTGACACTGCAGATTTTGACACCCCCGTCCCCACCCTGCTGTAGTTGCTGCTTTGTTTACAATTGTTTTCTACTTGTTCCAGCAACCACCTCTTCATGTATTAGCAGACAAGCCAGAGGACAGAGCAAGCTTTTCTGCTGCACTCGCCTCCATTTCAAATGGGAGCTCAGTCATTCCTCCAGTCCTGGGATGATGTTTCCCTTCAATGTGCCTTTTGAATCTATACTAAGATAGGAATGCTGATTATTTGACTGATTGATTATATGCCATCAAATTGGTGTTGACTCAGTGACCACACAGATAGATTTTCTCCTGGAAGATCTGTCCCCAACCTATACTACTTCCGTTCTTCCAATAGTGCATTCATCACTGTTGTAATTGAGTCACCTTCTGCTGATCATGGTCTCCTTTTCTTTCCTTCCTCCTTTCCTAGAACTGTAGACTTTCTAAGAGAGCTAGATCTTTGCATAATTTGTCCACAGTATGATAATTTGAGCCTGGTCATTTGTGCTTTGAGTGATGACTCTGATTTGATTTGTTTGATGATCCATCGGTTTGTTTTCCTGGCTGCCCAGAGTATTCTCAGGAGTCTTTTCCAATACCAAAGTTCAAAAGTGTCAATACTTTTTCTATCCTGCTCCTTTAAAGTCCAATAGGGAAGCTACTGGCCCATTCATTTAGACATGGAACCCTTTCAGCAGTTCAGAATCATCTCCAGATGATTCCAAACTCCCATGATGACAGCAAAATCCAGTTGAGTTGATTTTTTTACAAGTTCCTTTGAGATATATGAGAAACCACAGCAAAGACAGACATTTTTCTTGATGTGCTGCAACTCTGTAGAATTTTGGGGGCCTTTACTGGCAGGATCTCTTACCTCTCACCATCTGTTTGCTTAGTCTTGCTCTCTCCCTTTGGAAGTTATTGCCCATGAAGATGATTGCAGGTTTGCACTACAGTCCTTTTTGAGAGATCGGGGAGTGGAAACGAATGCAACGGGGTGGAAGTTTCCTAAATCTTAGTGTGCATAAGTATCAAATAGAAAATAGATATAACTTCCACCTTAACTTCCTTTCCATCCAAATTATTTTTTCTCCTTTGCAGATTAACAGAAGAGGGTGGTGGCTTTGTATATTTATGTGTAATGTTCAGCTAGACCTGAATAATTGCTTAAATCTTTCAGAAGTACCTAGCTACATCCTGTATATCTGCATTGACTTATTGAACTCTTGGCCAGTAGCTTTATAATAAACCTGAATTATTTTGTACTTTTTAAAACCAAAACTGATTCCTAGATGCTTAAAAAAAGCAGCATATTTCAAAGCTTATTTACCATTTTGCTTTACAGATAAATAAATAAGTAAAACAAATTAACAGAAAGAATATACCTTTTGCTGGAAAAAAATAATGCATTTATTGGATACTTGTGCTTGATTTGAATTCCCGTTTCAGGGAGGAGAGAAATATAACATCGATGAAGATGCTGTTCTAAGTATGTTTGATGAAGGTTACAAGACCATGCTCCCTATATTTCTTCCAATTCATGTTGAGGAACTCCATGATCTACCAATGGACTTAAGGAAGCATGTTGGAATGCCACCTTCTCAGGCCATGAGGAAGAACCCTGATCAGGATGTTCAGTCTTCTAAGGTGGGTGACCGTTAGCATCCAGATACATAGTGCATTGATGAAGATTATTTGTTAAGCCTTGACTTTTGTTTGGGAAAGCTGAAGAAATCCCAAGTCTCTAAGCTGGGCATAGGCAATCTGTAGCCCAAGAATAACGATAGGTCTGGACGTACTTCCTCTGACACCATCAGGTTCCTCCCCCATTTATCTTTCAATTGTTAATAGATTCTTTTAAAAATGAAAAAGAAACTGGCTTGCTACAAAGGAAAGCACAACTTTTAACATCAACTTTATTTCCAAGAATGCTTCTGGATCTTACATGGGGTCCCACAGACATTCTTAGAAAACAAACATGGCAGGTAGTAGTTATGTTGGTAATGTGGCCCACCTGCTTGTTCAGAAAGAGAAAAGATATTCTGGGATGGTAATGGGGATGTAACTGGAGCCTGGGAGGGTAGCGGGGTGGGAAGTAACTATACCAGGTTGAATTCTGGCAATGGGCTGTTTTGTGACTAGCCATGGGCATCGTGGTTGGAATTTGTGAATGGGTCTGTGTTCCAAATGGCAGCCATTTTTAAAAAAATTAAAGACGTTTTTAAAGAGGATTCACAGTATGCTGCAGGCAACTCAGTCTTTAACTGAAGTGGTCACTAAATGAAACTACAGCTGTGATTATGATTTTACTTCAGCTTTCCTTTGCTTTACTGACCTGCAAAGGTTGTGAATGTGAAGATTGGTTGCAAAATTACTTTTTCATCACTGTCATAACTGCAAATGGTTGCTATACAAGGCAGTTGCTAAACAAGGACTCTCTGTATCGTTTGAATTGCTTGAACAGTATTTACAAGTCCTGCTTCTCTGTTTTGCTTTCTGCAAGAATACCTTTTTTTTTTAATATAAAAAAAGCATGCCATTTTACTCACAGCTCTTGGGATTCACAGACAGAGAAAGGGTCCCTGGTGCTGAGAGATTCAGGAGCACATAAAAATGATGTTCTTTCCCTCCCTCTCTTCTCCCAGGATCCTTGCCAGCCCAGATGGGAGAAGATCAGATATGGGGCTTGGTATCTGGACCCCAAGACATGGAAAAAACAGAAAGCAAATGAACCTTTAGAAAACCCAAAAGCAAAAGAGAGCAACATCAAGAATTCCAGAAAGATCATAAGTGAAGAGGTATGTTGCAAGTTCCTAGGAAGATTTCTTTTCCAGATTCTGGATTAATAATACAGCATGACCAGTAAAAATACCACGTAACATACGAACAGTGAGGAAGTGGAACATTTTAGGGGGGTTGCTTATTGTAATCCCTTTTGTACTGCCAACTAATGATGTCTCTCAGTAGTTTATGGAAGAGCATAAAACAATAAAACCCAGTTGAATCCAGGAATGAATGAGAATTGTCCAGTGTTAAAAGGCTGTTTCAAAAGATGTGTTTGTAAAGCCAGCTGGCAATGTATTCCAGAGACTTGCCACAGCAAGGCTGGATCCCATGTTGCTGTACTTCTGGCAAATCTCTCCAAAGGGCCTCTGTGCACAGGTATCCACAGGGTGGCTGAAAAAACTCAAGATGGTGCCCACACCTGCACGATCAAAGCCTTGCAACTTTTTCCTTTTTTGACCCACCCTGCAGTTGCCTTTGCCTGAATGAGTGGAGAGGTGAGGGTATAGAGAGTAAGGAAAATGATCTTGATGGAAATATGCAAGAACCCTTACCTAGCAAAAGGGGCTGAACGTTTTTTGAGTCCAGAGCAACAAGATAACATTTGGAAATGGCTCAGGCAGAAGCCTCTCTGATTCACTGGATTATAAGAGAGGGGAGGGGATACAGCACAATCAGATTTGCAAGATTATGTTAGTATAGCCAATCTCACTAAAAGGAGTTTTAGCCTTCCTGTGGAGTTGATTTCCTGATCTGGTCTCCAAACCTTTGGAATAGTTCTTGCAATTGTCCTCGCTGCACCTGCCAAAAATGTATTTGAAACCAACCAGTGCTCACTTCTGCTAACCAATGGAAGAACTGATCATCTGGCCAGGACTCACATCCCTGTCTTTGTCTGGCCCCATCTGTTTTTGCAGTAGGAAACAGCTTATCTTGACTGGAAAGAGCTGCAAAGATGACCTTTTGCTCTAATGAATATTGGGTGAGGACACTGTGGTGCTACAGTGGCTTACTAACTATGAGAAGGGGGCCAGCCAAGGAGACCAGGCAAGATGAGGCAAGTGATTCTACCGATGAGAAAGTGGGACCTCCTCAAGCTCTATGGAGCGTCAGTGCTAAAAAGGAAAGGAAAAAGGGAAAGTTCTGAGCAACATTTGAGTCAGAAGTCAATCGTTCTGGTTGCCAAGCGGTGATGACAGCTTGGAATCACAGGAGCACCGAGCCGATCTGGAAACCATAGCAAACCTCTCCATGCCAGTGCTCTGACATCCCTGAGCAAATATGGATCCAGCCAGGTCCTTTCATTTAGTTGACAATAGATAAAATGTTTATTGATATGCAGAATTTCAAAAAGACATAGTGGGAGAGCAAAAGCTTTGGCCAGCTCTGTGGGTGGGCAACTTCTCTTTCTCCAGCCCGTTCTTGGTGGCATACAGTATTGTCTTCTTCTGGCCTTTGTCCACTGGCCCCCACCTTTGGAAGAGAGGCAAGAAGGCAGAAGGTTTTTGTTCTCACTGCAACTATATTTCTAGGATTGTCCGTATGTTAGGATATTGCAACAGATGCTGTGCATATGGATGTGCACAACGTGTGATCTGAAGTACAAGATGTGCAGATGGGGGGGTGGTTAATTTCCTGCAGCCATTTGTTTCTTGGCAGCCCAAATTGGATATAATTGTCTATGAAGAGAAACAGTAGGTCAGTGTCGTCCAAACATGGCCACTTTAAGATGAGTGGACTCCCAGAATTCCCCAGCCAGCCATGCTGGCTGGGGAATTCTGGGAGTTGAAGTCCACTCATCTTAAAGTGGCCAAGTTAGGACAACACTCCAGTAGGTGGAAGAGAGAAGAAGGGGGAAGTAGAAATGTAGGGACCCTCTTGTCCCCATTAATGCAACAACCTGGACATCCTTCAAATATTGGCTCCCAGAATTCTGACTCGCTGGAGAATTCAAATGTTGAAATTCACCCTCTGGGAGTGCCCAAGCTGGGGAAGTTGTTTAGAATGATTTCTCCTCAACCTTGATGTCAACCCACCATGGCTCAGATTGGATTGTTTGGCTCCAATTGCTGTGTTTTACAGCTTCCCCAAACCAAGGTAAGGCAATCCATTGTCTTACAAATGAAGAAAATTAAAGAATGTACAGTAAAGATACTGATCACTGGGGGAAGCTCTGAGCTGTCTTCCTGCTCACATTAGGGCAACTGGTAAAAGGGTGCCATGATGCCTAAATCCTAGTGTGTAAAAGGGAGAGAGGAGGAACTGGGAGGTAGGACAAGGTAAGGGTTCCTGTCACTGAGGAATGGTCTGTTCTGAGCTCCAGCTTTTTAGCTGTAGAATTCTGTTTACAGTGATCCCCTCTGCATTCCTCCTGAGTCAAACTTTTGTTAGATCTGCTACCTACCACTGATGATCAGGCAAGTACAGAGCTGATCTACAAGTGGAATGAACAAATACCCCATGTGAATGGGCAGGTGGCTGAAGGAGCATAGGAAGGATGGAAGGATGGAAGGAAGGAAGGAAGGAAGGAAGGAGGGAAGAAGGGAAGGAAGGAAGGAAGGAAGGAAGGAAGGAAGGAAGGAGGGAAGGAAGGAAGGAAGGAAGGAAGGAAGG